TCTTCAACCTCATCCACGTTCAAGACAAGCTTCGTGCTGGTGCAGCGCGGGGAGAGGGGATGTAACGAGCGGGCGGCGCTAGGCCTTGGCACCTAGGAGATCCGCTCGGGGCCGGGGCCGGGCGCTTGTCGCTGCCGCCGGGCGCCCCGACGCCCCCAGCGCAGCCCCGCTCCCCCCCCCGGGTCACAGGCGTGCCTGTAAAGGCAGGACCTGTTCACGGGTTACGGACGTTTTATAAAGACAACAAAGTTATCGGTGTTCTGTCGATTCCCCGTGGTTCTCTACGGCTGAATCTCCGAATCGGCTCCGAATCGTCTGAAGTGCTTCGGCCAAATCAAATCGGGAAAATGATTTGAGTCTCCGAATCAAATCTCTGGCATCTGAATTGGCTGAATCCAAATCTGAACTGAATAGTTCCCTACTCACACAGGCCTAGCACACACACATCCCCTGGACACCTGGGCTCTGTGTGTGTGCATGTCCATCACAGACACCTGGTGTGTGCACTCATGTACACACACACACGCCCTGCCCCCTGCTGCCAAACCTCCAGCCCCTACCCCCTGAATGGGGGGCTCAGCCAAATAGACACACCCAGCAATGGGCATTATAAAGAGCCATACACAGACACCGTGACTTCTTGCGTGAAACAAGTGGCCGGGTACTTTGTAACTTCAGGCCTGTCCCGTGGGACAAGGAGCTCTTTGTTACGGGCTGGAAGGTAGATTCAGCTCATTGCAGGACAGAGGTAGCAGGTCTCCTGCTGCCCGTGCGAGGGGCTTGGGGCTGCCAGCTCCTGCGACCAACTTCAGCGCTGTTCAGTTGTAGGAGTCCGGCAGGGACCTCACACGCACAGACAGGACCCAGGGGTTCAAGACACACACGCATGCGCGCGATAGCTGAATCTCACTGGTGGGGATGGTATTGTCCAGCCTGGACCCAGCTTGTAGCCCCTGCTCCATTGGCCCGGCTAGGAAAACCATTGGCAATGCTACATCCATCTGTCTCCATGTGACCATTGAGCACTGTGTGTCCACTCATTGTGATCAGCATCAGGGGCGCCCTGGGGCTGTGTGTCTCCCCATCTGTATTGCCTTACTTTTCACAGTCATGGCAGAGACCCACATCTGTACAACAGAAATCCAGCCACAGCCGCAGCCAGCATGAAAACTATGAGGACTATCCCCCACCAGGGGAAACCCCCTGGACCTGCAAAACAATGACTCCAGTCAGAAGTGGGACACCAGGAGTTACTCCAAAGCTTCAGCTTCTGCCCCAGAGGAGCCTTCAACTGCCCCAGGGAGGGGCAAACCCCACCCCACTACTTACCTTGGTCCTTGGTGGTGAAGCTGGGGGAAGATCCAGGTTCATGCATGGCTGATGGGAGCAAGGTGGGTTCTGGAAGGAGACACAAGGAAAGGGATGATGAGGATCTTTAGGCAGGAGGCTGTAGACTAACATCATAGCATCAGAGAGAAGTGAGGCTGGAAGAGACCTCCAGAGATCACATCTGCACGGCACCTCCAATCTTTAACAGCCAGTCACGTCTACACCTGAGTGAACACGACCACACCTCAGTGAAGGTCTTTAGCTGGAGCTAAAAAGAGTTTGCGGGACTCCAAAACAGAGGAGAGAGATTAAGAGCATGGGCAGATGTAAGATATAGAAAAGGGGGGTGCAGAAGGGGTGGCACCTCATTGCATACTGGAGAAACATATGGTGCAGTCACTATCCCTGGTGGTGTTCAAGAGGAGGCTGGACAAGCACCTTGTTGAGCTCCTTTGAGCCCTTTCCAGTCCTTCTAGTCTACTATTTTATATGTATTGTTTAAGGAAAACAAGACACTTTGGTAATATACTGGGGGCCTGACACTATAGTATTCAGATGTAGATCCAAGCAGAGAGACACATAAATACTGGAATGTGCATTACATTATATATAATCCTAGAAATAGTTTGCTAGATTATATAGATAGATTTTAAGAAAAGAAAAACCTAAGAAACTAGGCAGAAAAATAGCCAAAATACTCCAAAGCTATTGTGTTGTTAGCCCTTTTGTCATGTCATCAATTTCTAATTTGGATTCATTAAAACAAAACCTCGACTTCTTGAGGAGCTTAACAGCACCTCCAGGACTTCACAGTCTGTTGTATTGGGGGGGGGGTGCACGTGGGTGCACGTGTACCCCCTGAGATTGGCAGTGCCCCTTCTGTGAAAAGTGCCGCCAACGCTGCTGATGGCACCTGTGGGCAGTCACTGCTTGCCACTCCCTGCCTTGCCGCTGACCGTGTCTGCAGGTCGTCGCCGACCATCGGTCGGCACTCAACACCTTCCCCCGCTGCTGCTGACACCACTGTGGCCACCTGCGGAAGCTCCCCACCTGGCCCACCCCTGCCACCAACACCGCCACCACCGCCTGCGGGAGCTCTCCGCCGCCACGCCCCTCTGGGGGCATGTGTCATTCATGGTCAGTCATGTCTACCCCTAAGTATGTGACCACCCGAGTGCAGGATTTTAGCTAGAGCCACAAGCAGTCTGTGGGGCTGTGAAAGATGAGAGAAATGTCACTAGGCAGGACTGACAGACAGCAGAACTGCAGAAGAAAGGGTGGTTTGATTAGTGAGAGATCAAGAGCATTGGAGAGGAGGGAGGGGTTCACACCAACAGAGTGAAGATATTAGCAGAAATGAGAGAGATGACAATGCAGTCATTGGGCTCTCTCACGGCTGCCTGGATACAAATGTCCCTGTCTCTCCCCCACTTTTGCCTTAAACTTTGTAGGGGGGAGCAAGGATGAAAGGAGAGGTGTGACTGCCCCAGTTCCTGCCCCAGTTCCTGCCCCCCGCCATATCCGCCCCTGCTGGAGACTCCTTACCAGGCAGCACCAGTGTGATGTTGGCCAAGAGAGCGCCGTCCAGAGAGCACCTGATCTCGTAGTGCCCACGGAGCTGCTGGACTATGCTCTGGGCTGTGAAAGCACCATCCCCCAGGGTAAAGTGGCCTAAGCTGTGGGCCATGGGTCCTCCCAGGAGCTAGGGCAAGATCTTGTGTGGATGTGATGTCCCCACAGGCCATGCACGGACCATCATTATACAGCCAGGGGGGTCCAGGGGCATGCGGGTGGCTCCCCCCTTGGGCACAATGCAGCGCCAGGCAGGGATCTCTGCAAGGAGAGAGTGCTGTGGTGAGACCCTCATGGTGGTGAATGGGCAGGATAGGGAAGGAGCAAAGGAACTATGTACCCTGGGAACTGGGGGGGCTGAAGGGGAGATTCTCCCCCCACACACAGATGCAGGACATAGGGGTTCCCCCAGGGTTTGGGAAGGGGATGGGGGCAACCCCAGACACCTGGGTTCTGCTCTTACCTGGTGGTTGGTTCTGGCGCTGGCAGTGGCTTGGGGCAGTTGTGGGTGTGGGAAGGCACAGGCAGAGAGCAGGGATCATGGTGCTCCCGCTGCCCCCTGGCCTGGGGCCCTGTGAGGGAGATAGAGTCCCACACCCCTCACCTCACCAAGGCAGCCCACCTCCCACCCTCCCACCGGCTGCAGGGGGACAGGGCCAAAGCCCCAGTGTCTGTTCCCACACCACAGCTCAGGGACGTGAGACTCTCCACGCACACGGACACATGCTTACAGCCCTAGTCCCAGCAAGCAGGGACACACACACGTATGTGTAGAAGTTTTGGTCATCTGAGGCTGCAGTTATGCTGAAATCTAGTTAAGCTAAAATGCTGCAAAGGACTTTGAGAGCAGCAGATGCCACAGACATCTTGGTGATCTGACAACACGGTGAGCTAAAATGCTGAAATCAGTGAGGTGTGAGCTCTAGGCCCCTGCTACATGTTACATGTAGTATGCAATTCAGTGGTGAAACACCCAATAAATACAGCTTGGGCACGCATGCCAAATAATGATATCACAATGAACCAGTCAAGTACACAGTAAATGTAGCCTGGCTACACACACAAAGTTACTGTCATGCAATGAACACGTGAATCACACAGTAAATGTAGCCCAGCCACATGCAAAGAATAAATGTAGACCATATATTCAAAGCAATCATTATGCGATGAACTTGCAAACTGCACAATAAGTGTAGCCCAGGCACCTGTGCAAAGTAACTGTCACATAATGAATGGGTGAATCGTGCAATAATGTAAAAACTGGCCACATGTGCCAAATAATCTGAATGGGTTTTTGGTTGTAGCCATGTTGGTCTAAGGACATAGGCAGGCAAGTTCTTGGAGTAGATGTCATATCTTTTATTAGACCAGCTGAGTTCTTGGCAAGCTTTCAGGTGCAGTCACCCTTCTTCAGGCAGAGCAAGTCTCTGCTGGTCTGAGACTCCAAGGAATGAGAAAAACTTCTCTCAGTAAACCTGGGGTAATAGCAGACCACAGTATGAATGTGACCCAGCAGTGCAATGCTGTAGCCAGCAGGGCAAACGATACTCTGGCATTGTATCACTCAATGCATCTCCAGCAAAACCAGGGAAGTGATTCTTCCGCTTTCCCTGGCACTGGTGAGACTGCAGCTGGAGTACTGCGTCCAGTTCTGGGTGCTGCACTTCAACAAGGATGTGGACCAACTTGAGAGTCCAGAAAAGTCACCCATATGATCAGGGACTTGCAAGGGAAGCCGTACGAGGAAAGGCTGAAAGACTCGGGCCTCTTCAGCCTAAAAAAGAGAAGGCTGAGAGGGGACTTGGT